CTGCTGTTGTGGGCCTGATCTCCGACAACATCGAGGCGGCCTACCTGGAGGAGATTAGGAACCTGGAGACCTGGTGCCAGGAGAATAACTTCCTCCTAAACATCAGCAATACTAAGAAGCTGATCGTGGACTTCACTACAAAGCAGGCGAGGAATTACAAACCCCTCATCATCAGTGGCACGCCAGTGGAGAGAGTGGACAGTTTCCGATACCTGGGTGTCCACATCACTCAGGACCTGTCATGGTCCTGTCACATCAACACCCTGGTTAAGAAAGCCCGTCAGCGTCTCTTCTTCCTCAGAAGACTTAGAGACTTCCATCTGCCACTGAAGGTGCTCAAGAACTTCTACTCCTGCACTATCGAGAGCATCCTGATGGCAAACATCTGCACCTGGTTTGGGAACAGCACCAAGCAGGACAGACGAGCTCTGCAAAGGGTGGTGCGCTCAGCAGAACGCATCATTCAATCAGAGCTCCCTGACCTGCTGTCCATCTACACCAAGCGGTGCAAGTCCAAAGCTAGGAAGATTATGATGGACCTCTCCCATCCCAACAATGGACTCTTCTCACTGTTGAGGTCTGGGAAGCGCTTCCGCTCCCTTAAGGCCAAAACAGAGAGAATGAGGAGGAGCTTCTTCCCCCAGGCTATTCGGGGCCTGAACCAGGTGTAGGACTGGACTCTCCCAAACACGTCACTATAAGACTGGACTCTCACACACGTCACCACACGCACCACCACACAATCCTATAATTCCTATAATTTATAATCCTTATCTTTATAATCTCTTCTGCTATTTGCACATTCTTTACTGTAAATTCCTAAGTTAATTTGTAAATTTTTGTAGTAAACTGTAAATTGTAAATATTGTAAAACTTTTCTTCTGTCATTTAATGGTCGGGCATTGTACAGCTACAAGCATTTCACCCCCATGTCATACTGTGTATGGTTGTGTGTGTGTGTGACAAATAAAATTTGAATTTGAATTTGATACTTAATCTCTTTAGGGTCGGGTAATGTTCCCATCTGTCCTTCATATGGAATGTAAACATGTTTGTCAGACACAAATGGAAATCTTAATAGAAGAGCTCTAAGATCAAAGTGCATGCAGTAAACTCTGTTTGAAAGGGAAGACGTTATCATTCCTGAAACGCTGCTCGTTTAGCACAAGACTACTACCACCATAATCCTTCTCCTAATGGTCCTAATGTCACCTAGTAGATGTTATGAGAAAATAGCATATGGATTTAAAGGGCCATTACTATCTATTAGAGATGGACCGATCCGATATTACGTATCGGTATCGGTCCGATACTGACCTAAATTACTGGACCGGATATCGGCGAGAAATAAAAAATGTAATCCGATCCATTAAATATCAAAAAAGCACCTCACAAAAATTGCGACATGGCGTAACTCAGCTCATAACCGTAGCACGTCGGAGCAGTGTGGTCACGTGATACAGCGGCTGTGTGTATTTGTAGTCTCGCTACCAAACCAGCATTTCATCTCCGAGGAAGTTATCCCAGAGAGAAGTAAAGCAAGTGTGTAAGTTCCTCTCTGAATGTTTGTAAAGCATTCCTGCGTTAAGCTTAACAACTGATATATGGAGCAAGTGCCTCTCTCTCTCTCTCTCTCTCTCTCTCCTGCCGCTACTTCATGAAACTGCTTAATGATCAGCTGATCGGCTTTTCTGTCGCGAGTCCGTCTCTCTTGTTTGTTTTTGGCCCACTTTGCACCAGAAAGAGGAAACCAGCGGCTGAACAACAGCAGCACGTTTAAGCTTGATAAGCTGTAGTTAGAATTTATTTATTATTACTTTCTACTCCAGGATCTTTTTCTACGTAGCTGACGGCTGGTAACTGTGCAGGGGCGGATCTAGCAAAGTTTAGCCAGGGGGGCCGATAGGGCATTAACAGGGAAAAGGGGGCACAAAGACATACTTTTCTTTCTTATTCTCATTTAAAATGTCGAGCTTTTAATAAATAATTATCTGAATCTTACACCCAAAGTTTTAATTTGATGTAAAATGTATAGAAGTCCATTACTGCATATAGTAACTGTTAAGTCTAATATACCCTAGTAAGCTATACTACTTTTTCCTTTGGGAAAGTACCATCTGTGCAGTCTGCAGTTCTGTTGAAGAAAGATGTTGAATCTATTTAATTATTCTTGAAAAATAATTTATTTCTGTGCATTTTTTTTTCACACTGCATCAAATTAAAGTTGATTACGTCGATTAAGCATCATGAGGTGGAGGGTGGGGGGGGGGGGTTCCCTATTTTTTAATTTTTTTTGCTGGTAGTTTGCAACCCTATTATTTAGGTTGCTTAATATTTCTGCTAAGTACTCTTTAAAATACCAGAATAGGGAGGATGGAGCAGGTTTAAGTTTATTAGATTGATCAGTTTTGCTGAACTATGAAATATTTTGGGCGCAGTGTACTTTTTACACACAGGTATAACAGAATAGCTTTAGTGCTGTTGTTTATTTAAACTTGACTATGAACTTATACAAAATGCAGCAAGATATTAAAAAACATTTTTATTGATTAAAAAACACTATATCGGATTCATATCGGTATCGGCAGATATCCAAATTCATGATATCGGTATCGGACATAAAAAAGTGGTATCGTGCCATCTCTACTATCTATTCATATTTACATCCTGTTTTCCTTTATTTAATTCCTATCTAACAGCCTGGTCTCTGGTAATGATGCACAGCTGGAAATGTGTGCACTTACAAAGTAATTGTTTATTGTTTATTAAGTAATTGTTCAACAATCACCTTGATGCTGGACAGATTGCAGAGACTGCTTCTAGTCTGATGCTAAATTAAGCTAGTTAACGTGTGCCTTCATGACCAGATGACCAAAAATGCGGATACGTTCCACAGGGAGTGCTCTGGAGACAGTAGCAGCCACATGTTCCCACACATGGACACCAAATGTGTACCAGCATCCTCCACTTGGTAGAGAACACTTCCAGATCCTTGGAGAAAGTAGTTTGTTGTGATAGCAGGAACAGGCCCAAATTACTGAGCAGAGTGGCCGAGAGTCAGCGTGGAGTTCAGAGAAAACTCAAAATAGCAGTGTGCACACTTGTAGCTGGTGGGTGTGGACACACGCTTGCAGATGTGTGCATTTGCTCTTTCATTTAGCCACAGCCAGCTTGCCACAGGAGAACATCCCATGTAGTGTGTGGCTGTAGCCCACTACTAGTGTTAATTAACTGACAGAAATGGTGGTGGATAAGATTATAACAACATGCAGCCCGACTCTATGACTCATATCAGAGCAGCGAGAAATAAAATCTGTCAAAGAGATTTGTTTACAAAATTAATTCATGGACTTTTTAAGTTACAGGTATTTCTTTCTTTATGGCCCTTTATTTTTACCCTGCATGAGCTTCCATTTGGTCAAATTACTCCCATTAGGAGCATGCTGAAATAGCTATTAGCAGATCCTCTCTAATGCAGCCCATGGATTTATGGACGACTGTCGCTGGATTACTTTTCTAGGCCGCTAAAGAAAACTTGTAAATGTGCTGAGTCTTAGGTGGGGCCTAATGTCCTTTTTTAGTTTTTTATATAAGAGTTTACCTTTATTTGTTTGTCCTGTCAAATGTACATATCTATCAGTAAAGTTTAAAATTACCAGGGAGCACAGGGAGTATCTTATTCCCTGCCTCCCATATAAAATATTTATCCCACCCAGATGGATCTTTATAAACTATTTCGCTTTCCAGAAGACAAAAAAGTAAGTAGGAAGTTGAATATCTTTATGTCTTTCTGCCAACTTTGCAGTTTTAAAACCTTTTAGGTTTTTTCAAGTCTGAGACCACAGCATGCTTTGCATTAACTTACGCTAAGACAATAAAGCTGCTTTAAAGTCTTCTTTTGTTTAATATGTTTGCGCTTCTCAGTTGTTTTATGATCTCGTCTATACAAGCTTAAATTCTAATTCAAATTTAGCTGTGGTACATTATCCACATTCAACTCTTAAATCTAATTCCTTGACAGAACAGGATCATTCATGAAATGAAAAGGCTAGCCCACCGTCTGCTACTACTGTAGTAATGCTGTCACCTAATCTTACAATCACTTATGCTACATAGCCAAGTTACAGCTAGCTAGCTAAACTCCACACTAACATTAGTTTTATCAATGTGCAATTAATGACATCATAAATGTTATTACACATATAGCAAATAAACATGTTTACATTTAAATTTCTGATTTCTGTTAAAATGTGTCAAGAGGAAGATGAGAAAGACCTGGGCTACAAATACAGCAAAGCTCAGTGAGGCTATAAAGTAACCGCTCAGCAGCGACACAGGCTGACTGTCTCCAGGCCACGGCACACTGAAAGAGTCATTTGTGATAAAGGAGTCCCAAAAAAGTACTCAGAGTGTAATTGTCATCGTTACCTTTGTTAAATGAATTATGAAAAAACATTTCACAATATTTAAATGTCTTTGAGATGCACTGGTACTATTGCAAAGTTTAAACGAGGGCAGCTTACACAGAGGTCGGAAATGTTTTTAACATTTAATGTCCTGCTCAGTTCTGCTATCAGTCAGCGTCTGAACTGTCACATAAAGTAAATGGCAGCCACTTGCTGGCATTCATTGCCTTCAGTTTCAGTATGAATATCCATAAAGACAAACGTGCAGCTTTGTAAGATCAGCTTAAAGGAGGTTCGTTCTACAAAACCACTGCTTTGCCAAACAAACTGTCCTGTATGCAGAGTGTGGTGCTTCCCAACACTTTTGTGATGAAGCTGCAGACAGATGCTGGACCACAAATGCCACTGTGGTCAAATCAAATCGAGCTGTTCAGACAGCTTACAGAAACACTGGCAGCTGTTAACAGCAGCACACATGTTAATTGTAACAGAAATATTCTCTATAGTGTTGGCACGAGATGTTGACAATCACAGAGTGCAATGTTTGCAACGTGAAGCGGACTTGATGTCTCAGAAACTACAGTCTGCACTGACCTTTGGTCCCAGCGCGCCAACCAGTCCGACATGGCCTGGAGCTCCAGGCTCCCCCTAAGAGGATGAAAAATTCTGTGAGGCAATATGAAACAACAGGGTCCTGGAAATGCTACAGAAGGTGGAAGAAATCCCATCCACAAGCAAATTCGTCTCTTCACTACTGTTCAATTAGGAGAAGAAATAATATCATATAAACACATTCAAGATATTTTTGATTTGTTACATTTTGAAATACTTTTGCTTGCCGTGTTTAAACTGCTTTTAACTTATCATAGCTTTCTTATCGAGTGTTTTGGAATAATCTGATGATCTCGTGACATCAGACAGAGCCCTACATTTGAAAGGTTTAGCATCCTATGAGCATCAGCTAACTCCCTCTAGAGCTTACCATCGGCCCAGCTTCTCCTGGAGGTCCTGGCTCTCCTCTCTCACCAGGGAGACCCTGCACATGAAGAATGTTGCTAACATTCAAATGTGATCACTTTTAAATAATAACTTCACCATCTTTTAATTTTAATTCTGTTGGTTGACATAGAAAATGTTTCTCTAGAGTTTCAAACTCACATTAACAGCAAAGTTTTGTTATTGTGCAGGAAAATTTGTTAGAAACAAATTAAATTCAACAGGATGATCATGGTGAATGTTTTAAATGTCCGTGCTAAATGTGGCAGCATTTAAAGACTCGTGTCTTGAACCTGAACTTTTTCGAACATTTATTTCTTACAATTTAGGAGATTTAAGAGTGAATTTAAGAATCATGCAGAAAGATTTTGTTTTTATTTGCTACAGCAGCATGTACAATGTTATAAGATTAGCTGTGGGGAAAAAAAGGAAAACAAATGCTTCTAATTTCAAACGTTATTTTTTAACAATTCATTTTGTTTTTAACAATTTGTTATACAAATCATTAAGTTGTCTAAAATATTGTAAAGCATCAGTGGCTTCTTGTGCCTTGCAGTACAGCGACACAAAGCAGCACTAAAACAGAAAAAGTGGCCAAGACACAATGAACGAGAGAGAGCTGCAGAAATATATCTATAATATATATCATTCAAAACGTCCGTGGGACTGTTGCTCTCCCAGTCTTACCTTAGGTCCTGGGAGACCTGGTTCTCCTGTTAAGCCTGGCTCGCCTCTGTCTCCCTGCAACACATTGAAGAACTGTCTATAAAACAACCAGTATGAATAAGAACACACACGAATGCTCCTGGTTTTCTAACACTTACCTTTGCACCTTTAGGACCAGGTGCTCCCCTTGCTCCTGTCGGACCTGCTTCACCCTGCAGAGGGAAGACAGGTCAGAAAAGTGTTCACCGAAATAAACAGCATAAAGTATTTTGATCTGCCTGTTTTCTATAATACATTTAAAACTTAATACATTTGCAGGATATTCAAAGACATAACTTGTTAGGCTTATAGTTTGATCACATCTGAACAAACATGTGTGATGTCACTATTTCAGACGTCCTTTATGAACAAAGGCATGCAGAAAGACTTTCCTCCAGATCATCCATGACAGTCACCACATGTTAATTTTTGAAATTGTGGCTGTTGTGTGTACATTCTTGGGTACACAATAATTATCGCTCTGCATTGAACTCCTCATCACGCAAATATTAATTTGCTGGTGAAACACAGACTTAAAAAGCGAGTTAAAGCCAACAGCGAATCGATGAGTCTCCAGAAACGTTTCTGTCTTATAGCCACCAATGCTTTATGTAAAGTGCAGTTTTCTTCCTTGTGTCAGACATAATAATAATAATAATAATAATAATGTTGTATTATTATTATTGTTATTATTATTAATCAAAGGGAAAGACAACCAAATTGATATATAATGTGCTATAAAGGATGCGGGTGGGTGAATAATACAGGGAGGAGTAACTCTTTGAGGACATGCAGCTCTGTACAACTCACACAGAAACAGAGAAGTGAAATGCGTCTATTCAAAGGTATTATCGTGGTGTTTCCTTATACCTTCATCCCTGGAAACCCCTGGGGGCCAGGATCACCAGGTTTTCCTTCTTTACCCTGAGAACAATTGCATCATGTTCAAACATGCATCCAAAGATAAAACAGAATGAAAAACGTCCAAAGATATCCGTACTTACAGGCTTGCCTTCAGGCCCTCGTGGCCCATGTGTCCCTTTCTCACCTGGTGAACCCTGTAATATAAAAATATTCTAATCAGAAACTTTCTTCTTACATTAAGACACAACAGCAGCTATGCTATTGGCTCTATGAATACCAAGGCTGTGGCTGCCCATCGCTTCAACCGTCCCAGAATATGACAATGAACTGCCTTCAAATTTGGAACAACTGATCCCATAACATTTAATGGAAAGTACTTTCAGACGCTCCACCACAGTGATGGAATCACAGGTATGATTTTACACCGAGTGGTTTCCTGATGCGAGCGTCCCATCTGGGTTTTGGACTGGCACTGGGAGTTCACCGGCTCATGACCCCCTGAAACGGTGCGACTTGAACCAGGGATCTTTTGGCTGCAAATATCTTTCATGAATTCTAGGAAGAATTCATTTTTCAAATCCTTGTAAATCAGAAACCTTAATGTTCCTAACGTGACTGTACATGGCTTTGGCTGCAGACACGATGGAGACTTTTCAGGAAACATAACAAGTTTGCAAGAGATGTGATTTAGGCGTGTACTGCTGTCTACATCGTGGACACTTTCCAGCACTTTCCTTACCAAACAAATACTATTGTGACTCATTAACTGGGCTTCATCACAACCACACATCATTAGAGGTAATTAGTAGAGGAGTCAAGTCTTGATATGTATGTTTTTTGAATGAGGCTCCAAATCCACATCAAATAAACTAGCAGTTTCCTAGTTTCCAATTGCCCTGTTGTGGTCTCTATGTAGCATATACCATTTTAGATGGGTGTGTAATGACCTCCAATATAATGATACAGTAAAGAACTGATTATTATTGCATCCAAAAAAGCAACAAAGAATGTTGTGTAAACTAGCAGCACATTCTATATGTGAACATCAAAATCAAAGAATAACCAAGCTGTTGAATGAGAATGATGATGGATCACACTCATCAGCACACTCTTTGTTGAGCAGCAGGGATCTTGCAGACATCAGAGCCTGGTGTTAAAACCATAGGAAAGGAAACAGACATTTAATCTATCAAATGTAGGTCTTTATGTGTGTTACCGTGGGTCCTGGTGGGCCGACTACACAATCGCAGTCTTCTTCTTCCACTGTGGCACTTCTATTCAGAGGGCACTGAAGATACACATACACAATTAAATTAACAGAGTGGGTCACAAACGGATTACCCTGACAACACCTCAGTGGTGAAACTTTTATTAGCGACCTCAGATTAAATATGTGTGAATTCACCCTTACCCTTTCATCATCCTGCGTATCAGGAGAGACAAGACAAGAGAAAACATAATGGTTATCGTCATCGCAGGCTCATACACGCAGCCATACACAGCCTTTCAAGTACAAAGCCTTTGAAGTGGAAACGAAGAGAGAGTGAGAGCAGAGATCTTACGACGGAGTAGATTTCACAAGCTGTTTCCCTCTCGCTCTGATGGGGATCACAGTAGAGACGCAGCTTCTGAATCTCCACCTGAATCGAAACAACATGGACGATCTGATTATTTCAAACATGCTTTTTGTAAAAACAGAAACTAGTGTCATCTTTGATGCGTGACACGATGCTTTGAAGGCTGATTTTGCAACATGTAAATGTTACAAATGTTGCAAACTGCGCTTCATATGATAATAGTAATGATATCTACATCCATACATGCAATAGCCGTGTGTTAAAAACAAAACAAATGTTGCATGGTATCCTAATGATTGTAACACCTTGCAAACTATAATAATAATTGTAGGATCATTTATGCAGAATATCATTCTCTGGACAGTCAAGCATATTAAACAAAATATATCCAACCTACTGGCAACATTTTAAAGGGGTCCAATTATGCTTTCCATATTTCTTTTTGTATATAAAGCGTTGAAGCAGTGAATGCTCATATCAGTCATGGCAAAATGAGTGAAAGCGTGGATTGTCTTCCGCAGGTTGGGGATGTGTTGCTGCTCTGATTGGATGAGCACCAGTATTTTGGGCTCTTGCTCAGGTAAAATAGTGCTCTGCCAGCTAAAAGTCCTCCCCTCATGTAGACTCAAAGGTCTGGTTGTCATATACAGTTGTGGTCAGAGGTTTACATACACTCATCATGGGCATGGCTGTCCTGTTTTGGGCTTTCTTTGAAGTGTTCTTTTTCCAGGGTGGAATGATTATACAGCATACATCCTAAGTTACTTAAATAAAAAGCATTGGTTGTGCAATTTTAATTTATTTACATACAGGCTTAAATATATACATACATCTCCTTGAAAATATTTTAGGAAGTGGTTTTGAAGGTTCTGCAATACATTTTAACTTGACAAGGCCTATTAACTTCCCACTGATGATCATGATTAACTATGACTGGTAGTTTGTCTGTGCCAGCATAAAACAGAATTCGTTTGGCTCGTTTGAATGACCAATACTTAAAAATTGATCATGTGCAAGAAGTCACAGAAAGTCTGAAAAGGAAATCTGTAGCTTTATACACTATAGACTGGGAGGGACTCTTGGAGCCATTTCTACGGCAGATTTCCTTTTTTTGGAAGGATACCCAGATGTCACCCTAAAATAATAGGAAATTGCTTAGAAAATCCAGGAACCACCCAGGCTTAGGGTTGCCATGAACTGGAAACTGCTGCAGCATCAGTGTCACTGTTCACAGTGGGCGTCCACATGGACAAGCCAAATGATTTCTGGGAAAGTTTTATGGTCAGACAAGACAAAGATTGAGCTATTTGACAAGAGATATGTCTGGAGAAATAAAGGGGAGCCTTCCCAAGAACATTGCACCAGCTATGATGCTCTGGAGCTCTTTAGCTCCCATTGCTACAGTACACTGCACAAAGTGGACAGAACAATGAAAACAAGAAGCTACCTCAAAATTCACCAAATTCACCACAGATGGTTAAACCCAGGACACGAGTGGATGTTCCACCAGGACAGTGATCCCAGAAACACATCAGAACTGGTTTGGGAATGTAAACCATTAAGCTTCTGGAATAGCTTTTCCAAAGCATGGTTGCTCAGGAACATCTCACTATCCTTCTAAAAGAGCTGGAGGAAGTAGCCTGGGATGGGGACATCTAAATATTCTGCTTAGGCTCCTGCCTCTGCAACTCAGGTAAGTGACAGGAAGTTGATGGATGATTATCATGGCTAATTTCTTACCAGAAGCATTTCCTATACTATATTTGGTCAGGTGTGGCGTAGCTCCCAGAATGAATGTACTGGACTGAAATAACGTATTGCTTTAACAAAAAGGATCATCAGAAAGTAAGCTAAACATGCCAATGATCTAAACTCTTTCTGCATATAAAAACACTCCAATCTCCTCAAATCAAATCAAGTAAAAGATCAGCGTCAGGGCTCAAAGCTCCAGTGTAATTACATGTGTTACTCACAGGTACAGTGATGTCTGTTCCTCGCCTCTTAGACACCTGCGTTTCCCCATTGATGTAAATTGGCTCCACCGGTTTCAGCATTAGTTCCTGGATGCGCTGGTCGTCAAGGAAACCGGTGACCTGGCGATGCCTCACTAGTACTTTAATCTGATGCCATTTTCCATCATAAAGAGTCTGAGAGAGATGATATAAATTTCATGAAAAAATGCCTTTTGTCAGAACAAAAAGATTAAAGCACGTTTTTGGTCAAGCTTTCATTCATGAGTAAAACTGGATGTGAAAACAATTATTAACCTTACAGTTCTTCTTTCAGTCAGTCTTCTGTTTCTGTTGCCAGCCTTAACTGTGTTCATGCATTTCATTAAATATAATTTTGTGGGCAAGACCAAAAACGTGTGTTCCCTAAATGCTCTGCAAATAGTTCTGACACACCAGGTACTAAGACCAAGGACTTTTCAGGCCATAGGCAGAGAGAGAGACAGAGCAGCGATTGTTCCATTGGGGCTGAGAGTCACTTTTGAAAGGACAAATCACAAGCTCCTAGCTCGTGCCACATCAAACCAAATCAAACATATGCAAACACAAATTCAATATAATTACAACCCTGTTCAGGCCTACACATTGAACATTGCGTCTAAGGACGGAGGGTGGTGGGTGCTTCTTAGACTGAACCTGGCGATTATTACCCAGAACTGCCTCGGAAATAGAGACATGCGCTCCAAGTTCTACACATCCAATAAATGGTTTCCACCAGGAAAATACAGTGGTTTAGAGTAGGAAACAATTTCTTTGGGCTTCTCCTGGCATCACATTGCATCTTCTCTGGTTCCACTGAAGTAAATGTGGAGTGATGTTTAAATAGCTGCCAAGACTCATTCACTAATATGAAGAGAAAGCTGAGGTAGGTGGAGATGCTCTAATAGCACAATGAGTCCTTTCAAGGCAGTACAGCAAACTACACTTCTTACATCCTGCTTAGATGTTTATGTTTCTCACATTCAGATTAATCATTTTATGACACTTACTCATATATATATATATATATATATATATATATATATATATATATATATATATATATATATGGTGGTGGCTAACCAACCGGACATAGTGGTGGTAGACAAACAGAAGAAGGCGGCCGTAGTGATCGATGTAGCGGTTCCGAATGACAGCAATATCAGGAAGAAGGAACACGAGAAGCTGGAGAAATACCAAGGGCTCAGAGAAGAGCTCGAGAGGATGTGGAGGGTGAAGGTAACGGTGGTCCCCGTGGTAATCGGAGCACTAGGTGCGGTGACTCCCAAGCTAGGCGAGTGGCTCCAGCAGATCCCGGGAACAACATCGGAAATCTCTGTCCAGAAGAGCGCAGTCCTGGGAACAGCTAAGATACTGCACAGGACCCTCAAGCTCCCAGGCCTCTGGTAGAGGACCCGAGCTTGAAGGATAAACCGCCCGCAGGGGCGTGCTGGGTGTTATATATATATATAATCTCGGGTCATTGCAGACATAGAGGACAGTTACAAGTACCTGGGGATCCCGCAGGCGAATGGGAACCATGAAGAGGCCGCTAGAAAAGCTGCAACCACCAAGTACCTGCAGAGGGTCAGGCAAGTCCTGAGGAGTCAGCTGAATGGTAAGAACAAGATCCGGGCCATCAACACGTACGCCCTGCCCGTGATCAGGTACCCTGCTGGGGTAATAGGCTGGCCAAAGGAGGAGATAGAAGCCACTGACATAAAGACAAGAAAGCTCCTTACCATGCATCGAGGGTTTCACCCCAAGTCCAGCACCCTGAGGCTGTACGCTAAGCGGAAGGAAGGGGGCCGGGGACTGGTGAGTGTCAGCACCACAGTCCAGGATGAGACAAGGAACATCCAAGAATACATTGGGAAGATGGCCCCAACTGACCGAGTGCTCAGTGAATACCTCAGGCAGCAGAAACCCAAGAAAGAGGAGGGAGACGAGGAACCATCATGGAAGGACAGGCCCCTGCACGGTATGTACCACCGGCAGATAGAGGAGGTGGCTGATATCCAGAAATCCTACCAGTGGCTGGACAAAGCTGGACTGAAAGACAGCACAGAGGCACTAATCATGGCAGCACAAGAACAAGCTCTGAGCACAAGATCCATAGAGGCTGGGGTCTATCACACCAGGCAAGACCCCAGGTGCAGGCTGTGTAAAGATGCCCCAGAGACAATCCAGCACATAACAGCAGGGTGCAAGATGCTAGCAGGCAAGGCATACATGGAACGCCATAACCAAGTGGACAAAATGGTGGTGGCTAACCAACCGGACATAGTGGTGGTAGACAAACAGAAGAAGACGGCCGTAGTGATCGATGTAGCGGTTCCGAATGACAGCAATATCAGGAAGAAGGAACATGAGAAGCTGGAGAAATACCAAGGGCTCAGAGAAGAGCTCGAGAGGATGTGGAGGGTGAAGGTAACGGTGGTCCCCGTGGTAATCGGAGCACTAGGTGCGGTGACTCCCAAGCTAGGCGAGTGGCTCCAGCAGATCCCGGGAACAACATCGGAGATCTCTGTCCAGAAGAGCGCAGTCCTGGGAACAGCTAAGATACTGCGCAGGACCCTCAAGCTCCCAGGCCTCTGGTAGAGGACCCGAGCTTGAAGGATAAACCGCCCGCAGGGGCGTGCTGGGTGTTTTTTATATATATATATATATATATATATATATATATATATATATATATATATATATATATATATATTAATACCAATTCTAGTTCAGTCTGCTGCTTTAGCCACACTTATTAAAGCAGCATCAACAAATGTTTTACTTCTAGAGAGCAGAGTGGAGACACTGTTATTGCAATAAGTGTTGTTTTATTACGTTTTATGTACTGAGGTACTGATTTACTTTTACTTTTTCTGAACCAAATCAAGGTAAACTACTACTTTAAAATATTCACTGTATATGCAACATGGAAAAGCTATTCTTTTTATTCAATCTGTCAAACTCAGTGGCCAGATGAACAGTACAGCTGTTAGTCTTCTTTTACATAAAATCCTATGGTTTATTTTTAGCTTCGGTATGGTTAGAGAAACTGGTTGAGTTTGCATCTCTAAAATCAAAACATAAAGAATAAAACTGTACCGTATTTTCCACACTATAAGGCACACTTAACTCATTCACTGCCATTGACGTCTATAGCCGTCAATTGCAGTGAATGAGTCAATGGGTTTAACTCATTCACTGCCAATGGCTGGCAGTGAATGAGTTAAAATCCTTTAATTTTCTCAAAAATCGACAGTGCGCCTTATGTATGAATTCTGGTTGTGCTTACCAACGAACCGATTTTATGTGGTACACAGCGCTCAAAAATTTGACAAATGTTTTAGTAGGAGTTTGGTAAACTAGCCTCACCACTTGATGGATTGTTGGAGCATTACGGCTACCGCGGAGAAATCTAGGTCCTAAACTGTTAACTTCAGGTCCCAAAGTCAAATGATCACTGCGGCATCACTGGCTGTTAAAACTGTCTAAATTCTTTTTGCTGCTGCTGCTTTACCAGGTGTAACAATTAAGTTTAACATCCAGACATCCATGAAAACAGAATTTATGAAGTTTAACAGAATTAGAAGTTAGCAGGAGGCTATCTCGCTAGTTTCCACTTAAGCATGATATAGCATGTTCTGACTGAGAGATTTCTGCAAAAATTCAAACGTACAGCTCTGCTATCACTTCCAACATAAATGAAGACAGAAAACTAAACAGCAGTGACGTTTGTAGGGTTACTGAAGTTTGGCTAGCTGGTATATAATGATGTGCAATATGATCGCTAGCGACACAGCTATGTTAGCATAACATTAGCACAGTGAAGCTGGAGGATGAATGCTAATACTTTTCCCCTCGATAAAAGTTAACGTGAGGGTTCCTGATGGTTAGGGACAAATGCAATCGCAGGATGCTATAAACAGACCAAACTTCAGTCAGGAGAACAACTGAGATAATCCATCCACAATACGAGGTTAGTCATTAATGTACTGCAACAACATTGGAATAGAGCAGCTGCAGAGGATTCAACATTAATGAATCAATGGTACGTAAGTGGAGGAAGCAAGAAGAATGAGTTGAGTAAAGTTTGACTTATCTGACTGTTTTGTTTCGCTTAATGCGCCTTATGGTCTGAAAAATACGGTACTTGTTTTTGTTGTTGTAGCTTTATCCTGAAGCCAAGGGGGTATCATTGGTCTCTATGGACACTCAATCCTAACACCAACCTGAAAGCCTGTTTTAAAGACAGCTTTCTGCTCTTTCTCTGTCGTACTGGTGGTGGTGAAGGTAACAGTTTTGTCTTTTCCGCTCAGTGTTACTGCAGCTTGAATCGCCTTATCCTTTGACAGCACCCTCCAAAGGTCAAAGGACAGCTTGCTAGAGATCCCTTTCAGACGTAGAGTGGACACAAACACGTACGATGGAGGAAGTCCTTCTGGGAAAATCTCCCTAGTTTAAAGATTAAGAATGAAAAATGTAAATAGCTGTCGACCAAAGCCCAAAAGCTGTTTAGAATGAATGTAATGATAGCGATAGCATGTTACCTGGTGTTCTCAGTAATGTCTGTGGAGGCAGCAAGGGCATAGGCAGTCTCAGAAACTAAAGAGCCAGGGATCTTCTTTGCCTTGGTCTGAATGTTCATGCCCACCATCAGCTCGAAGCCTTTCTCATCACGGGATGCCACTGGGATTCGTGTGGGACAAACAGACTCTGGAAGCACCAGGGCGATTCATTCAGCCAAGTGGTCATTCAGCTATATGATATTTGGCAACACTCTAATTTGTGATTTTGTAGATACACTTGAGTTTTCTGACCTTCACAAAGCTTCTGCTCCATGGAGTCTCGAATACGATCGATGGTGGTGTAATCTTCAGCATACAGGACATAGGTAGATGAAGGTTTATTGGCAATGGAGATCAGCTCTGAAGTGGTGATCTCAGTGCCAACTCCCACAGCAAATACAGTAATACTCTGTGCTCGAGCCTCCATGCTGGCGTCAACCTACAGATATAAAAGGTTATCTTTTGGTTTAAATTGTTTTCCCAGGTCTGGGGAAGAAGTGCTAGGGTCTCGGTTACAGTTAGGGTTAGGGGGTAAGTACTGGTTAGCTAGAGTATTAAAACCTCACAGTGTGGCTTTTCTATGCCGAAGTTTCTTTCCATGTTGATACTTCTTTTATGTTGCCTCTGTTATTAAAGGCCACCCAAAAACACTGACGTGGTTTTACCCATGAGGCAAAGGACCACTCACCACATCATCCTGTGACTTGCCATCTGTAACCACCACAGCGATGCGGTTCTTGACCAGATTGCCCCGCTGGGAGGAGGCAAACACGTGGTCCACTGCAAACTTGATGGCCCTGCCAGTCTACAAAAAGAAGTGAATTAAAAAAAATAATTTTACACCAGACACCAGACCTTACACAACCCCAAAGGTTATTTGTGTCCCTGACTGATCTGCCAAGTGAACATGTTAAAGACTACTCAATGAAACCACTAGCCATTCCCAGTCAAGCATAGACATTTTAACAGAGGTCTTTGGAAATGCAAAAGTTGAGTATTACAGCTGCAGAATTTACAGGGATGCATGTGCAAGTCTGTTTGGTGACCATGCTTGTGGCCGTGTTGTGTGGTCATCCTGCTGCAGATGCAATGTTGGCAAGTGGCACCAGTGAACATGCCTAAATGTGCAGTCTGCTTTTATGTGACGCTTTAAAGGTTGCATCATAGGAGTAAAGTCTGTTTTGTTCCTTCACTATGCTTTGACATGAATAGTTTGTAGGAGCTGGCCACCTGTGTAATAATTTATCCTTTACCCATTTTCCCACCGATTGTTTCATAATTTTTGATATGCTTTGTTTAACTTCGCTTCCAGTGGAGTCAAAAGTTTCATTCCTTCCCTCTCCACTCTGCTATTACAACCAAGCAGTGTTGCTTATAACTTGTGCAGTTTTTTTCTGCGTAATTGTTTATATTCCTATATCTATTTACTAGGGGTGCAACGATACTCGTATCAATATTGAACCATTCGATACAGTGCTTTCGGTTCAGTACGCATATGTATCGAACAATACAAAATTTTTCATTTATTTTATCAACTTTCCTTCTGACGATGCTGTCTGTGTTGAGCGCTCAGTGGATCTGCGTTCGACTACTCCGCCTAGGCTGCACTGTCGAGCGCAGCGCAAGCTAGCAAGACAGAAGCTAAACTCGTTGCAACATGGCAAATTGAACCTCCCCCACCCTCATTCAGATCTGGCCTTTGGAACTATTTTGGTCTTCATGTGACGTATGACCCTGAAGGTAAGTGCTCATGGACAAAAGTAAAACAGTATGTTGGATGTGCCACGCAATGCTCAATTACATGGGTGGGAACTAGTGTGTTAGCGCAGTTTGTTTGTTAACGTGTTGACGCCGTCCAGCCCCACGCACGGGGCGATCCGCGGTAGCTCGTTAACAGAGATTTGCCGTTAACGTCATTTCAGATTTACGCTGACAGCACTAGTGGGAACACAACGAATATGACTGCACATTTACGCCGACATCATCCTAGTGCAAAGACAACTGGAAGCAGACAAAAACAACAAGCACACATGCTACAAACTTTAGCCGAGTCATTTAGACAGCCGTTAGCACATGATTCTCCTTATAGGGACCTGATATGTTTAATATGCTGCTGAGAATATAGCCCAGAAGAAGCGTATAGTAGAGCTTTTATTTTAGAAAGAGCCATTTCTCTGTAATAAACTCTCTTTTCCAAAGATGAGTGATTTCTCCATCAGATATATTTATTATTTTATCCCTTTGTTGTTTCAGCAACATTAAATTTAAAAACTGTACCTTTGAGTTAAAATATATATTTATAATTTTAATAAATGACAAATTAAAAAAGCATGAACATTTTTTTGTATCGAAAAAATATCGAACCGTGACACCAAAGTATCGAACCGAACCGTGAATTTTGTGTATCGTTGCACCCCTACTATTTACATATAAATGATCTAAATTACTAATCCTTTTATTTATGTCAAGTCTTAATATTCTGCTTACATGTCCTGTGCACAATGTTGGGGAAGCTTCTTTAAAGACATAGTTTTGCAAAATACTTCATAACAGACAAGCTGGACAGCAGAGATACTCTGTTCTGTTTCCTAAAACTACTAAATTAGTTTGCAAAAACAAAAACTGATCAAGTTCACAGCGTAGCTATGATAACGTGTAACATGTAATAACAAAATAACATTGGCAGCAAAGCTTCACTGCTTATGGAAACAGTGCAGCACTGAGAAACGCCTGCCCTTTCGCTCATGCAATAAGCAAAGGTCAAGTGTGTGGAGACGGCTGCCTCACAACTGCACTGACTGAGCGTGTCGTAAGGATCGTACAGAAGAAGTAGGACGGCTTTGAGTAGGGAGGGGATTCAGTTACAGTAGAAATGCAATGGTCCTAACACACAAAGTTAACGCACATGTGTCACACAGTATTATCACTGTGGACATACAAATGCACAAGAATCACAGTTCATCACAATACAGTTTTAGCACATCACATTTCCCCTGTGCTAACCGATACACAAGTAGACAGTTATCTATTATCTAGTTATATGTTTGTATTTTATGATGATTATTTAATGGGATATTAATAATGTGATGCCCCCTGTCACATAGCCCGACAGAACAGCTGGTGTCCACCTGGAAACCATCAATCAACAGGGAAAAATATTCCCCAGTGGGTTGTGAGTGGGTACTGGGAGTTGCTAGCAGTCACTGTGAAATGAATTGCTGTACCTCAGTCATGAAGGCCTAAAGTCTGGTCATTAACCAGGGAAAAGTGTGCATTTCCAACCAGTTGGTAAGGTGGTTGTCAGGGCTGCTGGCTGTCATCTGGTGTATTTGGCTGCAAATACATTTATTTGCAGCTCATTTCACAGTGACTGCAGGAAAAACATAACTGCTTTTGTTACTAGTAAGTTTGTCTGGTTGGTTAATATGTTAGATGTGTAACCACTCGCCAAGTACACACTCAGGGTGTGTGGAACTGTGAAGAGTGCAACATGAAGCAGAAATATGAACCTCCAAAAGTTGATTCTGTTCATCTGGACGTAGCGTTTTGTGGGAGAAACGTTTCGTCTCTCATCCAAGTCTCAGCTGACTGAGATTTACTTTCCTGGATGATTGAGAATGCATCAAGACAGAAATAATAATAATAATAATGGATTGCATTTATATAGCGCTTTTCGGGGCCCTCAAAGCCCTTTACAGTTCCACTATTCATTCACTCTTACATTCACACACTGGTGGAAGCAGCTACAGTTGTAGCCACAGCTGTTCTGGGACAGACTGACAGAAGTGAGGCTGCCATATGGCACCATCGGCCCCTCTGGCCATCACCAGTAGGCGGTAGGTGAAGTGTCTTGCCCAAGGACACAACGACCGAGACTGTCCGAGCCGGGGCTGGAACCGGCAACCTTCCGATTACAAGACGAACTGCCAACTCTTTGAGCCACGATCGGAAATAGTATGAAACTTTCCCTTCAAAGTGAAAAATGTTGGTAACAAAGAGTTTGGAGACAAACTGCTGTTTGTGTTGCTGGTTTGCAAGCAGGTGTTTGCATCTTCCATGCAAACTAAGGCGACTGCAGCAATCACAAAGCGCTTTTTGGATTTCCCCCATTGACACCAAAGCAACCTGCAGCAGCTAAAGCTACTTGCCAACCCCTCTGTGAGTTTCTCCTTCACCTCAGGTTAGCTCATTTCTATTCAGTCACCGAATAAGTCAAGAAATACAAATATCGGCATGTGTTACATACATGTCGATGCTGCTGCATCTGTTTATTCTAAACACATCCCCACGATACATGATTTTATATGTTCTTCTGCAAATTAGGACATTTAAGGAGAAAAGGTCCTGCCTGTGTGTTTCCTCCCAGGTAGCTGATGCTCCGTATGGCCTTGATGAGCTCTGCTACTCCCTGGTGTTTCCCAAGAGGAATCTCCAGCCGAGGTGTGTCACTGTATTGTATCACAGCCACCTACAGGTGACACAACAAAACTTATCTGAGTGGATCTCTGTTGTGTGTAATGCACCAAATAACTCGAGTGAGGAAAACTGCAGTAAATCTGAAAGGAAATTGGAGGTTGTTCAAATCATTCTCATTATGCACAGCATGCAGCATTACCTGTGTGTAGTGGGAACTGATATCAAACTGGCTGGTGATGTTGATGAGCCACTGCTTGGCAGTGTCAAAGTCCGAGACGCCAACGCTCCATGAGCCATCAATGATGTATACCAGGTCATTGACAGCCGTGCTGCAGCCTGTGCACATAAAGATATATACACGGTCATTAAAGAGAAGCCATTACACTCAGGAGACTTAACAGATCAGTTTTATGATCTGCTTTCATCCAAAGGTGCATGTCATCAGTACCTGCTCTCACATCTTCCTCCTCTGCAGCATCCACTGTCGTCAGTAGTAAAATTACACTCCATACTGACCACAGCAACATGGCTCTGTAGGAGAACAGTGCACCGCAGGCCAGCCCAACCTACATAAAAACAAAAAGAAAGCTTCTTATCGTAACGATTAGGCAAACATTCTTTCACACCTATGAACAGATTACCATTAAATTATGGCCTAAACTATGACCACGCCCCCAAAACCTGCTGAGGTATTAGCTCTACGAGCACGCTGTACGGCACAGAGCTGTGAGCTGAGCCATCAGTGCTAAAACGTTCCTCGACACTTTTGATTTCTGATGCAATCAGACAGCAGTTACAGGAGTAAATGAGCTTCCCTGAGGTGCTGAGTTATGAGAAGTAAAAATAAGAAGTAAACAACTGCACGGCAAAATGCTGCAGCAGTTAAATGCACATGTTTGTGTGTGGAATTTCCTTACATAGAAAAGTCTTTGCATGCACAGTTATGGTCACACGTTTATATACACGCACCATGGATGTGGATTTTGGGGCTCTTCTTGTTCTTGTTCCAGAGTGGAATGATTGTACAACATCTTTAATAACTTCAAATAAAAAAGAAATTAGGTGGGCGGATCTTTACTGAATTCCCTGGACTTCCCAGGATTCACACAAAGCAGGTCCATTCGATCCGTGGATACATATTTATTTAGATATAAAGTTATAGTCAGAAAATAATTGAGTTGTGGGAACCAGAGTGGGCATATGCAAATGAGCTGAGAATGAAAGCCAGCAAGAATAACTCTGTGTTTGCTCTGTAATTCAATGCAGTTACACACAGAAGCAGAAATAAAGACTCATAAATCAGTCAGCCAATCACTGCTGGTTTGGCCATAACACCCCTGCTTTCTCCTTTTCCATTTCTGCCACATCAAACACAATAAGGACACAATGACTCTGACTGTCACATTGTTCCTTCCTGTGTGAAAACATATGACAGTCATTGATGCTGTTTTTCACTCTGTTATCAGTTTGAATATTGTTCACAGTTTCTCAGATGTGGTGGAAACACGAGGAGGAAATGAGACTTCCTGTGTAGCTAAGGAGCCTATGGCTTAAAGAGATTTTCAAACCATGAACCTGCTCATCATTGTCATAACTCATAGAGGGATTTCCCAGCCCAGGAACTAGAAACTATCAAAGCTCTCAGAGCATTGATTTGGTCTCTTTTTATGATTGGCAACAGGTCATTAGCTGTGTTTCAGAAGTACAGATAGGGAGGAGCTCACCACTCTGTGAAACACTACGTGGGTTTTAACAGTTAATCAGTGCAAGTTATCATTTCTAAGTGATTGAAACCATATTCTGCATGTGCTGAAACAATATGGCTCGCTAATACGTGCTAAACTGGCTCCCTGCACTCAAGACAGCACAAAAACAACACCATTTTTCTCAAAATGAAACGTAAATACACACATTTTTATCTCAACTTGCTACTTCAAAGTAAATCAGTGTACGTGAATAGCTTCATCGTCAGCACTTTGCCCTTTCTGTGCCACACATAGTGCACCAGGGAGATGTGTAGGTTAGCCGTCCCCCCTCAGACCAGCTGAAGCCAGCAGAACTCTTGTGAAAGAAACCTTTCCTTTTTTACCCCACTGTCATCACGAAACTCACGACAAACAAAAAGTACAACACTTCCATTCTGACACACTCCATCATGTTGTTGCAGCTGTTGCTAGCTGCTGCTATTCCAGCCATCAGCTGGCTGCAATTAAGCCACCTTGGGGAGCTCCCCAGTGAGCAGTTACCCTGCAGCCCTGGAGCACATTTAGCCTGCCTTTAAGGAGTAACTTGTCACTAAGCTGAAAAACTCTGTTTCATATTCGCTTTCACCTGCATGTAACCAAATGTTTCACTGCTGTCACCGAGCTCAGTGTGTAGTCAGTACAGCATGAACGAGAAGTCAAACAGCTGGAGGTCAGCTAGAGCAAGATATAACTGCTTTAAATGCTTCAGTGTTATTACAGTCATTACGTACTGGCTTTGTGTGTGTTTTCAGCTAGAGCTAAATCATGCTACCAGAGGAACTCTGTCCTGAGCAACAGACACTGAGCACTAAAACATGTATGCAAGGACTCAGCCCACGTCCAGTGGACACACTGTGTTGTAATATGCAGCTGGTACATACTGCATGTGATATATGATGTGCGAATGAGTCCAGAGTGTCTTGTGAAATGACTACATCTCTGTCTCTCCCTCTCCTCTGTCCCCTCTCCTCTCACCTCCTCTCACCTCCTCCTCCTCTGTGTTGTAAAATTCTTTTGTGAGTTTTTTATTTCATGCCATACCATGCAACACATGATGGAGCTTTCCCTGTTTTCATTCGGCAGCACAAACATGGCTCCACCGACCACAAGGCAGGCCCAGAGAAAATAACAACGTGAGCAGAAACACAGGCATGGCAGAGAAGGCTGCGCTGTGCTGGCACAGGCTTTAAAGACAGGGGAGGATCCGTGGGCTGCAGAGAGTACAGCCACCACAACCTTTCTTTGACATGGTCCTCTCCCTGTAATGCTTGTTCTCCGAAATATTTTTAAACCAGAAACACCGAAAGAATAGGCAGTGTGTGCAAAACCTTGACAGGAATCACTAAGAATTGTTATTAAGTAACTTTTTTGTATTACTGCTTACATATTCCTCTCTACAAGATCAAACTGGTGAATAAATTTAAATTAAACGCCATATAAGTTATATGTAGGTAACATGGGTAGTAAGTTTGCTACAGGCTTGAAATGGGCAAACTCTATGTTTACTATAAAAGGCCTCTGTGTGTTTAGGAGCATGGGTTCATCATGGGTGTGTTCTGAGTTTTAGAATGAATCCCAGTTTCTGCTTTAAAGTGAATTAAGAGCCACTGAAAAGATGAGCTGGGTGCTGTTTTTATCACTCGTGAGTTAATCAGGTTGATACATGGAGTCCTCGAGCCACATATGAGATGCAGGCAAACATCTCTGTGTAGTTTGGGTCTGTTGCCACTTGCAGAGTCACTGAAGATCGATAAAGGTTGTTCTGAATCATTATTGTTAACGACCATGAAACGTTTCTATCGTGTTGGGGAGGATCTCTTCCAGAATAATAATGCCTTCTTGTCCATTCTTGTTTTTGTTTACACGGGTGACTGAACCAGGTTTTGGGACAATATGTCATGGAAAGTCTTTATTTTGTTGGACAACAAATGACAACATACCAGGTCCTGGGGTAAAAACATACCATATGTTGTACTTTTCCAGCAAGAAATTACTATATCATTACTTTTAAAAATACTCCAGCAGATTTTTTTAGGAGGCAGCTCTTATTTGTGTTTGTTGCCCATAGCAGTGCGACTGAAAGTGCCAGATTTTATTACTGTATAGTTTAGATTAAAGTTGGTTAGCTTTATAGCTTGCTTGCTCATTTTATCTAGTAGACCAGCTGGTAGCTAGCTTCTGACTGATCTGAATGGTAGAAAAATTGCTAATCTGAGATGCTAATGTTCTTTTTATTGTGATAATTAAGCTGCATAAGCAGACATAAGTAAAAATGTAAAAATTCAACACTGGTCTTAACTGGGATTTTGCACCCTGAATAGTAAAAAGAACAATGGGAAATGTATCGTGGCTTTCACAGATACTGACTCTGAATTGACTGAAGCTTTGAAGGGTGCTTATACTTTTCACCCACTATACAGTGAGCAGCTTTTATTTTCTGCAACATTTCCAATCAGTGCAACATTATCAGGCCACGTTAATAAAGAAAAAACATGCGCAATTGAATAATTGACCATGTTGATCATTTAAAGGCCCAAATATAATTATTCAGGTCTTCTCACTGTCCGCTGTATGTCAAGGTGGGAGAGTTACCTCGCTATCACTTTTTATGTCATGGAATCGTGTGAGTGCACAGCTGTAAGCAAACACCGAATCTTTACTTAAGGAAAGGAAAAGACACAATGTTACATTAAAATGTTAAACTATTCAATATTAACTTTAATATTTACTATAATTCAATAGAACTTTCACAGGGAGAAAAAACTACAGTAATGTTAGCTACATTCCATTTAGTGCATGTTAATTCACTGTCATGTCTCATGAGGCTTAATGGAGACACTTAATGGGAATAAGTCATCTCTATTATACCTCTGCTTTCCCCATGCTGATGTGCAAAAATATGAAAAAGGTCTACAGAGTGAGGCTAGTTTATCTGTCCAAATGAGAGCTTCATCTGACCTCAGCTGTCACTAGGTCATGCTCTCAGCACATGCATCCCTGACAGCTCAACTCATTCAGCAAGTCTGGAGATCCACAGGTACCCCAGGGGCAGAAATATCAGACTGAAGCTACAGACTGAGCTATGTGTGCATTATACTTGTAGTTATATTGTTTATTGTAATATTAGATATTGAGTCCTGGTAATTTTAACTGCAGCAATTATATTTTCTGTGAATGTGCTGATAAAACTGGAACTGATGGTTTGAATGCAAACACATATTTAATTGAGCCAAAGTCTCACAGCTGTATTATGAATGTGTAAGCCTGTTCAGTTGTATAGCATCCTGGGTAAAGATGGAAAACTGTGATTAATGTGGAGGCAGTGGCTGTAATAGTAGAAATGAGTCCTGCCTCTTTGAAGGCTGCAGTGCAGCCTGTGCAGAAGCGTGTGCTAATTACAGTGTTAGTGCACCACATGCGCCGGAATAGTTGCTGCTTTTAGCCTCATGTCAGGCTGCTGCTAGCCCCCTTTGCTAACTGCTAACATGTTGAAAGTATAAAGTATCCTTTGTGTGGATGTTTCATCCTTATGTGTGAATACTAAGCATCTGTTGTACAAATCTTTCTTTTCAGAACCACAAACACACACACACACACATATGCACACAGATGTATATTCATACCTACATCCTTCAATAAAACTACAGCTGGACTGTGCATCATGGCTTCTACACATTTCTGAACAATTCACCAGCCTCAGTACCAAAGTGTTATTTAGCTTCCTATTATGAAAGTCTCTTTATCGAGAACCAGCGTATTCATTTATGTCCTCTGAGCTACCCTCCTACGTCCTGATCTACTAAATAAAGGACATG